TTATTATTTTTCTAATTATAAGTATTATTATTTTTCTATTTATAAGTATTTTACATAAAATTCTATTAAATAATGAAATCATCATAATCAATTGTATTTTATCTTATAGATAATCTTTAGAAAATATTTGTTTTTTTCATAGAAATTTATAATGAGTTACTTTTAATTTTTTTTTGTTAATAATTTTTTAATTAATAAATTATGCTTTTGAACTTATAGAAGAAGGTGAATATTATTAATTCTAAATATTATCTTGTTTTAAATCTTATTAGAATTATGTAACTTCCTTTAACAATTTTTTTTTTTCTGCTTACTCTATTCATTTATTAGTATTTAACAAAAAGGAATATTAAAATTTTCATAATAATCAAATTCTATATTCTTATCATTTAAAAATTAATTAATTTTTTCTTTTTACAGCATTTACTTTATTTATTATAAAGGGATACTTTTTTTTTATTTTATTTTTTTAATAAAATAATAATAATAATAAAAAACTTATAAATTTAAAATTTTTTGAAGATTTAAAGTCTATCAAATGAGCTATTGTAACTCCTATATTATGGATTATAGCTTAATTACATATTAATTAAATATTTTTAATTATAATTAATACTTAGTAATTAATTAATAAATTAAATAAATATCTAATTTATATATTCTTATTTATATATATTTTTATATATAATATAATATCTTTATAATGTTTTTCTAATTATAATTTAAACTAATTTTTAATATATTTATCTCTATATTCTATTAAATATTATTTCATTTCAAATGCATATCGAATCGTTATAATATCTTCTTAAAAAGCTTTTTCTTCAGATTAAATAAGTTATTAAAGGCTATAATTATACAATTTTTTGATAAAAAATATTTATGACTATCTTCTTTACATAATATATATTAAAAAAAGAAAAACTTTATTCGCCTTTTAACTAAAAACTTTAAATTTATATAAAAAGGATACTAAAAATAATTACTTAGTAACTACTAATTAAGCTTTTTATTTAATTTTTTAAATGAATAAATATGATTACATACATATTTTAGTTTCCATCAAAACTATTTATTATTTTTTTAAACTATAACACTTTTTATTTTTATTATAGAATATTTATATTATTTTAGCTTTATTTTTAAGTAAATCAATTTTTTTGCTTAAACTTTGCATATAATTAATTATTTTGCAAACATTGATATAAATAATAAATTATTTAAATAAATATTCTATATATTAAATCCTCTATTAAATAATTACTATATATTTTTTTATTTATCTATATAGATATTACTTCTTATTTATTTTTTTAATAATATCTTATTTATTTTCCTCATTTAGTTAATTTTTTTAAATTTTTGTTTATTTTTCCCTAATTAAATACAATTCTTTATTGTATTATTATTTTACTTTTTTTTTAATACTATATTCTTTTATTAACTCTTTATTATAATCTATTAAGCTATTATTTTAATTTTATCTATTAATAGAATCTTAAGTAAAAGAATTATTATTTATATTTTTATCTAAATTTTATTACATATACTTATTTTATTAAATTTAAATATTATTTTAAATGGGACTTTTATATTATTTTTCTTATAAATATTTTAACTATTTAAAAAGTTTATTAATTTTAAATTTTTACATATATTTTTACTTATATTATATATTTTTTATTTATAGAATATTACAATTAAAAATTTGCTTATTTTTTGCAAAAAATACTAATAAAAATCTAGTCTAAATTATAGCAATCTAAAATGATTTTTTAGTCAAAATTATTATAATAATATTGATGATTTTGCCAATTAGGGACATCATTCTATCCTATAAACATTTCTATTTCTCCTTACTATAATAATATTAAAATATTGATTTATATATCTTAATCATCAAAATTAATTTTAAAAAGTTTATATTATTTATAGATAAGGCTATAATTTTTATATTATCCAATATTAATCTACTCATATTATTTTAAATTTGCAAGTGTTATTGTTTCAGCAAAATCTTCATTAAATCTTTTCTTTTTTAAAAAAATATATTTAGATAAAAAAATACTAATATTATTCTTTTTAAAAAAGAGAATTATATTCTTTATCTAATAAATTATTAATATTAATTTCATTGTATTTAAATTTTAAATATATTTCTTATGCTTTGTATAAAGATTATTATATTTATTAAGATTCTATTTATTAATTTTTTATAGGAGATAATGAACGAGGTTTTTATATTTGAAGATTTTCTTTTTTAAGTTAATTTTATTCTGTAATAAATTCAAATTTATTTTATGTTTACTTTATTTAATATTTTAAAAAAATATTAATAGGATAACTTTCAAATAAATAAATTAATTAAAAAAATAAAATTAAAAATTTAGCAATTAACATTTATTATATTTATAAACTTACTAATTTTTTATTGTTTTCATTTGAAAAGCTATTATTATAATTTAAATTCTTTTACATATTAAATATACTTTATTATTTTAAAATAGAGTTATTTTATTGATAAGGAATAGCCTTAATTAAAAAATATTTATTTTAATCGATTTAATATTCTCCTGGTTTATTATTAAAATTTCGATAACAATAATAATCTTCCTTATTAACTAAATATTTGTTTTATATTTTATATGGTACTTTTTTTATTTAATCAATAATTTTATTTGTCATAGGAGAGTATTATAAAGTTTATAAAAATTTAATATTTTAAGGTTTATCTGGAGGAGATTTTGATGCTTTTACATATAATATTTTAAAATAAACATAAAAATGTGTAAATAAAAATAATTTTACTTTAATTTTTGTTGAAAATTTTCGTTTAAAAACTTTTTTCAGATTATTTTTCAAACAATTTTTTTTATATTTTTGGTATATTTTTATAATTATTTTACTCTTGACATTCTATTTTATATATATATATATATATATATATTTTTGTTGTTTTTTTTTTTTTTTTTTTAATTTTTTAAATATGCATTTTAATATATAATAAATGAAATATTTTTACTTAAGGAATCTAATATTTTTATATTTTATTTACTGTTAAAAGTTCTATTTTATGATTCAGTTTCATTCTCATCTATGTAGTTAAATGAGATTTTTTTTTATGTTAATTAGTAAATATGCCTTTAAAAGTCATTATTCATAGATTTAAATAGAAAAATTATTATTTATGATTAATAAAAATAATAAATAATTTTATTAAGAAAATTAAAAATAATATATAATTTTTTTTTGTATTTAATAGTTATAACTGATTTTATTGTAAAAATTTAGATACTTAATTATTTTCTTAAAATTAAAAAAAATAGATATAATAAGCAAAAAACATAATAATTAATAAAAATTAAAAATATGCAATAATATAATTTAAATTAATAACAAAAATTAAATATAAAAAATATAATTTTAAATAAATTTTGAATATTTTATTATATATATTATTATATTATATATAATATTAAATTATCCATTCTTAAGAATTTTCTATTATACAAATAATTTTTATTTATTTTAAAATATTTAATTTTTATCAATCAAATATTAATAATTTTAATTTTATATAGATAATATATATAAATTTTAAATTATTTATAAATTATAAATAAATATAATAAGGATAAAATAAATATATAATTTTTTAATTAATAAAAATAAATTAACATATAAAGGCTAAATATTAAATTTTTTACAAAAATAAATGAAATCAACATAAAGGTACTAAATTTATTTTTCTGAATAATTAGACTTATTAAAAATATTAAAAAATCACATAATAAATTAAAAAAATGAATTATTAATTTTATACATAATATATATTTTTTATGAAATCATTATTTAACTAAAAAAAATATTTAATTATAGTTCTTAAATTACAAAATATTAGAATTTGACTTTATTAAGACTAAGTAAGCCTTATATTTAATTCAAATATACTTAGCAGAAATACATTACTACAAATATAACATTATATAATGATTCAAATGACTATATAGCTTTTAAAGTTATTTAAAACAATTAATATATTTAAAATAATTATATATTTATAATAGTTTAGAACAATTGATCCTAATAAATATTTAGTAAAACCAAATGCTTAAATTATAAATCCATAAAGTGAAATTAATATTGAATTTATAGTAAATACAGAAGTAAATTAATTTATAAATGAAATTAAACTTTTTAAAAATAAATAAATTAATTTAATTCCAATCATATATTATATAAAAAAAAGAAAATTTAATAACAAATTAATTAATTTAAAGAAATTTTTTAATTATAAGTCGTGAGATTATAAAATAATGTAATTTTTAAAAAAATATTCATAATAATTAAAAATCTATTTATTTATTTTCATTAAAAAAATATAAAGGAAATAGTTGATTTAGATTAAATATTTAAAAAAAATTAAAATGTTATTGAAAACTAATTTACAAAAATAGCTATTTAAATAGTTGATTCAAAAACTCTATAAATATTAAATTAAAATTAGAACTAAAATTAATAGAATAGTGTAAGAAATAAAAAAAAAAAATCAAATTTTAAAAATTTAATAGAATTAGATATACTAAAGTCATTAAGAATTCGAAAAAATAAAAAATTAATAACAATAAGTTGTGAATTTATAAAAAAAGGAAGAAATAAAAGTAAAAGAATATCCTTTTAAATAAAAAAATAAAGGATTTTAAAAAATACTTTTTATATTACTAACTGCTGTTTTATTAATGTTTTTATTATAAAATTTTTATTTTAATAATAGTGATTTAACTATAGTATTAAATCCTCTAAATTTTTGAAAAAAAAATGACATAAAAAAATATTAAATTTTTTTTATGAATAGAAAATATAAATTATATATATATTTGTAAAAATTCAAAACAAAAAAGAATTATTTTTTTTTTTAAAAAAAAAAAATTACAAAAAACATTTTAAAAAAAAAATATAAAGAATTTTTATTTAATAAATTTATATATAAAAAAAATATCTCATTTATTTTTGTAAATAATCTTCCATTAAAACACACAATTATCCTCTCCTCCTACACTGAAAATATACTAATCATTATTCGAAAATTTAACATTAGTAACAAAGCTTGAATGTCCTTTACCAATAATAGCCTTACTACCTTTCTAAACACAAGGATATCTAAATACTTTTAATTTACTAAAATCATCTCCAGTAGCTAATAAATAATAATTATCTGGTGGATTTATGTTTCCCATAAAAGTAGCATTACTTCTATCAACTGAATTAACATCAGTTCCATCAGCGGCTTCAGGCCAAATACCTTAGACCTATTTTTTTTACATATAAAATAAAATAAAAAAATAAAGAATATACAGGCCATCCTAAAGTAGCAGTCCAAGTAGCCCAAAATTCATTTCTTAAACTAGTTGCTCCTGATGTAATTTATTTAGCTTAATTAATATTCCAATATAATAATTCATAAGCCCCACAATTAGAGTGTAGAACATTACCATCTTAAGAGAAATCAATATGAGTGATATAAGAAGAATGTTTTCTTAATGGTTTTACTTTTAATTTTAAATCAGGAATATTATGTATATAAATAGCATTATCATGAGAACCGGCAGCTAATGTAGTACCATCAGGCGAAAATTTAACATCAGAAATCCATTCTTTAGCACTTCTAACACATTAGACTTAATTAAGATTCTAATCATATAATCTTAATGTTCCATCTTTAAATCCTACAGCAATATATTCTCCATCATATTTTATTGCTATACATTTACCCTTTTTATTTTAAAATTTTTTATTAATTATTTTGTTTATTTTATACTTTAATATTATCTTATAAATTTCCGCCTTGACTGTTATTTGGAATTTCATTTTTACTAGCATCTAAATTAGTGCGAATCATTTTATCCTATTTTCTTTAACTTACTGACCAAACTCTTAAAGTTCCATCATCAGAACATGTAGCGAATAAATCATTATTATTAGGAAAAGTTGCTAAACCCCAAACTTCATTTAATTATTGTTTATTTGGACAATAATGACCTCTAATTAGATTTTTTACAGTTCCAAATTTAGTTGAATTATTAAGTTTTATATCTTTTGTTGTAAACTCGTAAATTTCAGATCCGAAAGTTCCCACGAGTAAGCTTTTACAATCTTAAGAAAGACACATAGCTCTAATTTCTGAACAAGCTGAATTTAAAATTATTTATGACTTAAGTTATTCTTCAACAGGGATAATTAATATCAGATTATATGTTTTATCTAAAATATTAATTTTACAATCTCTTCCTCCTGTAAAAATACTATATTTTTAAAAATATATAAAATAAATATATATTGAACAATATTTACTATTATGAACTTTGATTTTAAGAATTTTAAACAAAAATAGAATCAAGTGCCTTATCATGTAGTTTTTTAAATAAAGATAGTTAATTTCCTTTAAATACTTAAAGACTACCATCAACAGCTCCACATAAATAATCTTCTCCAAAAACATTCAAAGAAATCAATAAATTTGAACATTGTGATTTACCCCAAACACCTTTTGAAGATTATAATTAATTAGATTAGTTAACTTAATAAACTTTAAATAATTTAGTTCCTGCAAAAGCAAATTCCTTAATTATTAAATTTAATAAATAAAATAATTATATATAAATATAAAAATATATATATGTATATATCTATATTTATATACTTATATATCTATATATATATATAATATATTAATTATATTTCATTTTTTATTTATATTTTTTTATTTTTTATATAAATATATTTATACATTATCATTTCTCCATTTTATATTAAAAATTTAGCTTGGTCCTGTTTTTTCAGATATTAATAATACTCCTCCATTTTTTGATTTTGCATTAATATTAAAAATAGCAATCTTATGATCAACATCAATATCTGCAGCAATTAATTTATCTCCATTTGGACTGAAAGCAAGTGCACTTATTCCCTTTGCTAATTATCCTTTAAAATGGCATTAGTGTAATAAAGTAGTTGTATTCCAAACATATATTGATGGTTTTGGTCCTATTTCCCCAGTAGCTACTCTTATTTTATCTTAGTGAATTGCTATAGCAGCAATATCATTATTATGTAAATCGAAAAACCTTGTTAATAATAAAAAAAATTTAAATAATTTTTTATATACTTTTAAGTATTATTTTAAATATCTAAAACGATTCCTAAAGCAGCTGCATGATATACGATTCCACCATAATTTAAATAAAAAATGTTATCTCTGCAATCTTTAGATCTATATCCATGAACATAATCAATTTATAATTAAATAGGTGGTTCTTTAGATTAATTTAAAGGATCTTTATAATAGTTAGAAGGTTCTTTTATTGCTCCTAACCAAGGCTTAATAGCCCTAATAATATATATAATATTATTATAAATATAAGAATATAAAAATATATTAAAATATAAATGTATATATAAATATATATATATTTTTTTACATAAATTCATCTCCTTTTTCTATTTCTTCTTTACCGAAAATATCATCTGTATCTTCATCTTTTTTTAAAATTTATTTTTATTTCCCAAATTTTTCTCCTGCTACTCTTAATTATTTTCCTTTTAAATTCCCGATATCTTCTAAAGCTAAATCATCATCTTCGTTCATTAATTCGTCTTAAATTACATTAGAATTTAAATTTTTTACTTCCCAAATCATTACAGACATATCTTATCCTCCTACAGTAATTAAAAACTAGTCGTCTGCTGTAAATCTCAATCTAGTAATTCTTCCTGTATGTCCAATATATGATGTATGTAATTATTTACTTACACATGCAGGATATTAATATAAATTAATAATCCCATTTACTTCTCCAGAAGCCATTATTCTTTAAGTATTAGAGCGTACACATGCCACTACCTAATCTGTATCTTTGATAATTCCTTTAGAATGCCATCCATATATGCAAGTAAATGTATTCCAGTTTTCCTCTTTACAAGATGTTGCAGGAACATCTTTTTAAATATTATTTATATTAAAAAACTTTAACTCATATTATTAAGAATTCGTAATTAATTTTAAGAATCTTAAGACCAATCTAAATGAGTAAGGGAAGAGTTAAGACCTTCTTTAAAAGATATTACTTTAGGACCGAATTTATTCCCTTTTATTTCAAATATTTCTACTGTAGAAGCGCAATCATGAGCACCAAATGCTACTAAAGTCTCATCTGGGCTTATTTTTATATCCTCTATCCATTATAAACCTGATTTTTGTGATTAATTTTATGGTTTGCTAAATTTAGATTCTAATTTATATATATATGTATTATTATTATTTATTTTATTTAAAACCTTTATAATCATCTTCTTATAAAGTTTAAGAATTAAATAAATAAATAGTCCCTTTCATATCAGCGGCAACAATAAAGCTACCTGTATTAGGAGCAAAGTCGATTGCTCGGCAATATTCTTTTAAATTATCGCATACTAGTCATTAAAGATTTAGTGTCTAAATTCCATAATCTTAAACTTTTATCAGCACCTGATGTTACAATAATTTTTTATTTAGGATGAACTGCACAAGCCCATATTTCACCCCCATAATGACATGAGAGTATTTTTTAAGGTTTCATACCATTTTTAGACTCGAAAACTTCACCTCCAGAGGTTCCTATTAACAAAACTCTCCTTTAGGATCTGTACATAGAGAAATTATATTAAACTCATATTTTGTTAAAGGAAATAATTCTATTATATCACTAGAGTCTTATAAATTTTATTTTGATTCAATTTTCCATTTCATTATTTTACCATCATCTCCACCTGAAAATATACTTTCATCTTTTTCATTTTCTTTTTTTAAATTAATTATTTATTCATTTAACTCTATTTTTTTTTTTATTTTTACTTCCAAAAGAAATTAAGCAATTAATTTTTTTTTTATGAGCATTTATTTTATTTTAAAGGATATTTTCATTCCATAAAAATAAACAACCTTCAGATGATCCACTAATACATTTTCCTGTTATAGTATAAGTAACAGCCATTTATTACTAGAAAATTTCTATTTCACTTCCTGATTTAAAAGAAAGATTTCTTCCTTGAATTTTCCAGAATTTAATATGAGCTAATCCACAACTAGCGAATTCCATATTGTTTTTCCAGGAAATTCCAGTAACATTGAAAATATCAGTCTTTTAGTTTGCAACCATTCTAGATTATTACCAATCATAAATTGCAATTGAATAATTTTAATCTTACCCTACTGTTAATAAAAATGTACCATCGGGAGAAAATTCTATATGGCTGACACCATTTATATGGAAATCATTTATTTAACTGATAATCTAAATAAATATTTATATATATATTGCATATTTTTTTAGATTTTACATTTTTAGTTTCAATTTCCCATATATAAATTTCACAAGTTTTAGATTTATTAGAAGAACTTCCAGTAGCTGCAATATTTCCCTTAGGATGAACTGCTAAGGAAATAATATCATTAGTATGTTTAACAAAGTATTATTATTTATTGATATCATTAATTATACATACACCTGCTGTTGTATAAACTATTTTTTCACCAACTGCATATTTTATCATGTTTTTGCAAATTTCATTATTATGTTTAGTACGAACACCAAAAACATGACTAAGTTATATTGATTAACAAGGAATTAAATTTAGTTTTTATATATCTATATTGTTATAAGCTGAAGGAACACAATTAGAAATTTAACCTTCATATTATTTTGGTATATGAATATTATTTTTTTCATTTACTAAATTTTCTTTTTTATCATCATTATAATTATTTTTTTTCTAAAAAATAAAAAAAATATATAAAAAATATATATATATATAAATATATATATATATATATATATATATATATATTTAATATTAAAATCTTACATTTATAAATAACATATTTTATTTTATAAAAAATATATACAAATTACTTCTATATTTTCAGGCAATTCATATTTATTTTATTCATGGTTGTATTTCCATTAAATTATAGTTTTGTCAAACCCCCCAATAGACACCACATATTAATCTTCATAGGCAAATCTAACTTTTGTAATATGTGAGGAATGTCCCGAATATTTAATAAAACTAGTATATTAGAAATCACACGGATACTAAAATATTTTTACATTACTAAAATCATCTCCGGCAATCAAAACATTATACTTATTTGAAAGATCTACAGTATTAATATCTTATCCATTAGAACAAGGAGGCCATATTCCTTAAATATCATACCCATAGATACAAGTATTAGTTTCCCACTTGATATTTTTTAAAATGGCATAGTCTTTTTCTCTAATCTATTTTCCAGGTTTCTAATGACTATTTAGTTCCACTAGATTAAAAAAAAGTAACTAATATCCCTAATTACAGCATTAAATGATTTTCTTTTCTTTCGCAAAATCAATGTGAGTGACAGGAAATTAACTTCCTTTTAATTTCACGATTTACTTGAAAGTATTTTTACAATTATAAGCGTAAATCTCACACGAAGGCTATCCATAAGCCACAACTAAATATTCACAATCTAACGAAAACTTTAAACAGCTAACACTATCGTTATTATCTTTAAAAGAAAACATCACAACAAGACTTTTTGGATCTACAATTAAAACATTTCCATTTATACATCCTATGGCTAAATGTTTTTAATTATTACATAATTCAATACATCTAGCAGGGAATTAAAGCTTAGTACTTTATACTAATACATGTTTTTTTAAATCCCATTAGGCTAACAGATTATCTTCTCCAACTGTATATATGAATTATGTTTTTGGATGTACGGTTAGTCCGTATAGTTTTCCGTCCCAATGCCCACTCATTATTACTTTAGTTTAAGTTTTTTTTAATACTTCAATTATTTCGGAAGATCTGGTACCTATAATTAAATTTTCCATTTTATAATCTTCCGCTACTGCAGTTATTTTTGATAAATAAACTTTAGTTTCTTTCAAATCGATTCTATTTAATTTTTTTAAACTATTATCCCATACTATAACTATACCATCTTTTCCTCCCGTAATAATTCCTTTTAATAAAATAAAATATTATATATATATATATATATATATATATATATATTATATATGTATATGTATATGTATATGTATATGTATATGTATGTATATGTATATGTATATGTATATGTATATGTATATGTATATATTTATATATGTATATGTATATGTAAATGTATATGTATATATTACCAGAATTTTAATCTCTAGTATACATAGACATCACAGGTCCTGAATGTGCGGGATGTTAAGCACTTAATTTGGAGTTTTTCCAAACTAATAACTATCCTTTGAACATTCCTGTAATAACACTAGTTTCAATAAAACTTATACATAATGAGGCTTATGGAGAATTTTATTAACTCCAAACTCCTTTAACAATTTTTAATTATTAGCCTTCTATTTACATAAAAAGGACTTCGTTTAAACATGCAGCGATTATTCCTTTGCCTGTTTTATCGAATTTTAGATCAAAGACAACAGGTTAATATAATGTAGTTTAACAAATTAACCCATCTTCTTATAATTTTAATGATGGATTTAATTTTGAATTAATCCTAAAATTATTTAATTTTTATTTTTATATATTTTTTTTTTTACGCTTTTTCAACGTCATATACAACAATACATTTATTCTTTTCTAAAGAAACTGCTGCAACCCTTCTATAATCATAAGATATAGCCACTTATCCAATTCCATTTTTTAAAACACCTTTAAAAGTGACTTTTGTTTCCATAGTTTTAGAATCCCAGATACATAATAATGGGTATAATCCTATTTATCCAGTAGCAACTAAATTCTTATTAACATCCATACATATAATATCATCTGTATGATCTAAATAGAATCTTTAGTTTCCTTTTAAATCATAAACGATGCCTACAGCACCATTATGATAAACAATTTCGTTATTAAGATTATATCTTATATTCTATCTAGTATCACTACATCTAAATCCATAAATAAATTCCATTTCTAAAGAAGCTTATGGAAGTTAATCTTAACCTAAATTTGATAATATATTTAATAATAAATATATATAATTTTTTACATTTATTTTTATCTTAAAAAACTGGATTTAAAATAGTTTTTTTCCATTACATAGATTTCGTAGAAACTTCCTACTTTTCATAAAACTCCGCATATTATTCTTAAAAAGAAAAAACATGTTCAATACCTTCTTTTATCATTTCAACTCTTTCATCCCTATCAATGGATGCTTTGTTCTATTCATTTTCCAAATCAGAATCAGTTTCAGGTACATCAGTATTTCCTCCATAATCAGGTCTTAAATCTTCTTTAGAAATAAGTCCATAGCTTAATAATAATTTAAGAATATCAAGATCTTTAGAAATAAAAGATTAAAATTCATGCAATGAGATAGACTTATCATTATTTGTATCATATTTATTTATTATTTAATTAGTTAAAGCCTCTGCTTCTTATATCGATACTTCTGGTTTAGAACTCATAGTGTTTAAAGAAGTTAAAGTAGTCTTTATTAATATTACCAACTCATTAAAAGTAATGGTTTAATTATTATCGAAATCATATAAATTAAATATTAATTAAGCTTTTGTCTTTTTAATAAATAAAAATATAAAATAAATAATTATATTTATAAAGAATATATAATTATATTATTAATTATTTATAAAATAATTAAAATAAATAAATAAATATATTTATATTTTAATTTATTTAAAATATATATTATATTTAAATATTAATTATATATTTATATATTTATATATTTATATATATAATACTTTTAAATCGCTTTATGATAGTAAAGCTAATCCGCATATAAATTCATCTGAATCTACTTTTCCACTTTAATCTTAATCGAAAAATTCAAATATCTATTTTTTTTTATTTTTTTTATTTAATTTATATTATATTTTACACGATTTGCTTCTTCCTCTGATACCTTCATTAAACTTGTAAATTACTTTTTGTTTATTGTTAGATCTTCATCAGCAATTAAATCAAATTTTTATCTATTATTTTATTTATTTATATTTTTTAAATATTTTTTTTTACTTTATTATTTAAACTTGTCCAGGTGAAAAACAAGAATATTTTTTCATAGCTTATAATTAACTTTCTACATTTTATATATTAGATATATCGTTTCCCATTTTCAGTATATCTTTTTTTATAATTTATTAAAGTCTTTTTTCTTTTTATTTTAATAAAATCTTTTTTGATAAAAGTTATATTTTTTATTTTTTTAATATATTGAATTGAAATAATAAAAATAAAATGTACAATATAATTAAAAAACATTTTTAAATTAAAATTTTTATTAAATTTTAAAAAATAAATTATAGAAATCGTTTTTAAAAAAAGATTTATTTTAAATACTTATATATTTTTTATAAGAAGTAAAAAAAATATATATATATATTAATTTTTATTAATAAAATTAATATATATATACTCTATAAATAACTTATTATTTATTTTATATTTTAATATATATAATTAAATTAATAAATTATATTTTTTTTATAAATATTTATTTATATATATATTATACAAATCTTTTAAATATATAAAATAAAAAAGTAAAAAAAAAACTCAATTATTATTATTAATCTCAGTAGCAAAATTTAAAAACTACAGTGTAGGTTTTATATACCATCTTCTTGGATTTAATAATCCTTCAAACCATCCCACATGTCCTTTTATTTATTAAAAAAAAAAAATTAAAAAAGAGCTAAAAAAAAACTTGTTTTAGTAATTAAAAAGATAACATTTTAATTAACTTTAGTAATATAATAAGGAATAGTTGAATAATGCAAAATAGGATCGTCTCTTGAATTAATACACAGTATAGGAATTTTAACATTCTTTAAATCATCTACACAACCTAGAAATTCATAATATTCATTAACCGTCTTCATTCCATGTAATTTAATTTAAAACAGTTTATCGAATTCCTTTGAAGTTTTAGCCTCTAAAGCATCTTCTAAATTAATATTAATTAATATTGCTGAAATGAAGTGGGCGATCTAGAAATAATTTTTCTCTAATTTTAATTATTTTTTATCTACTTGTAACCAAATAATAATCACAAAGGGACTTAATTAGATTATTTGCCTTTTATATATCGAAAGGGTTTCCTACAGAAACAGCCGCTTTAAAGGGATTATCTTCTTTATATTAACCCAAATATTTTACCATTATATTCGCTCCAAAAGAATGCCCTATTGCATAGAAATTACAATTCTCGAATTTTATTTCAGGTGTTCCATTACTTTATTTAAATCCTTTATCATACAATAATATCCTTTATCAGGAAATATACGGCCTTTTGCTTCATAATTATTATATAATCTATCATTATATAAAATAACATCATATCCTTATTTTAATGCTTCGGCTGTCATATTTCTTTTTATATGTAAATATTTAATTAATACATTTTAATTTAATTAATAAAATGAAATACACTATGTATGGTTCATCTCTTGAAGCTGTAGTTCCTAAAAATATAACAATTAAATAATTTTAATGTTTTTTTTATTAAAATAAGGAATTAAAAAATTATCTTCTAATTATGCATAATCTTTTTTTTTAAATATATTTATATATTTATAATTTAATTTTTTATAATTACCAATTGCTAACTCCCCGTAATCACCAAGATCTATATATTCTTTATTATAATTAATAATATCGTGTTTAAATTTAGAACGAAATCCAAATATAACTTATAACCAACCATAACCCAAATAAAGAGTTGGTTAAAAAAATCCTTTTTTAATTTCTTCACACCTTTAATTTACTTTTTAATTAAATTAAGTTTCCTAATAATAAACATCAAATCTTGAATTTAATTAAGGATATAAAAGAAAACCTGTTATAGATGCAAATAAAAGTCCTTTTTAAATAAAAAAAACTTAAAATAAATAATTTTTTATATTTTTAGACTTTTATTTGAATAAAATTTTCTAAAAAATGACATTTTTTTGTATGTTATTAATCTTTATATTTGTTGTTTTTAAATTAAAATATATAATATTAGCTCTTTTTTTATATATTTAAAATTGTATAATATACTTATAAATATAATTAATATAATAGAAAAAATTAAAATTTATTGCTTTTTTTTAATTATATTAGATATATTTAAACTACTAAAATAATAAAACATTCAACTATATTTATTTATAATTTTATTTATAATCTTTTAATTATATTATTTTTTCTAGTTCTTATTTTTAAAACTATCTGAAAGTATATATTTTCTTATAGATGGCCAATTAACTTCATTTATTATATTCGAATTTTTTATAAAATCTAATAATTCTTCTATTTTTAATTATTATTTTATAAAAAAACTATCAAATGTTTTTTTTTTTTTTTTTAAAAAAAAAAAATTATAATAATAAAAAAATCAATTTACATTTAGATAAATTTTTATATATATGAATAAATTTATTTAATATTTAATTTTATTCATCACAATTTTCTATTTCTTATTAATATTCTTCTAATTTTATACTTTATTTTTATTATTCGGTTTTCGTATTTTACTATTTATCTAAAAATTAATTATGCTGTAATTTTTTAACTGTTTTTTATAAAAATTGACTATGTTAATCGTAAATTTAATCTAAATTTTTATCTAAATTTTAATTTTAATCTAACAAATCTTGTTAATTAACTTCCTTAAAAAAATATATATATATATTTTTTTTCATATTTTATACATATTTTTCTTTTTCTTAAAAATTTTAGCCTAAAATTTTATAAAAATCTTATATTTATTATTAATTATTTATCAAGTTTTACTATATAATATGGTAAAGTATAATTATTTTTAATTAATAATATTTACTTGGAGTTTATTTTTTTTAATTATTAATATTAATTTTTTTAAATCATTATTTTATCTAAATGTTCTTTCATTAAAAATTATAAAAGATGCACATGGACAAAATAAATCTGTATTTTCCAATTAAATATTTTTACAACTTAATATTAATATCAAATTATGTGTATCCTGCTCAAAAGATGGTTATATAATACCTTCTTTAATAAAAATTAATTTCCCTATATATATATATATATTCTATTTAGAAAAGCAAAATATATATATGTATTATTACATATGTTAGATTAAAAAAAATCATTATATTATGTTTTTATTTCATAAAAAACTTCACTTTCATCAATAACACAAAAATCATCTCCAATTTTCAAATAAAAGTCTTTTAACTATATATACTCTTAGTTTTAAAGTAGAGAAAAGTATTTTTAAATTTAATTATAAAAATCAATTAAATTAGTATCGTTCATTTTTTTATTTTATTTAATATAAATTATATCAATATAAATTTAATAATAAATTTATTTTATATATAATTGCTTTTTATTTACTTTATATAATTTATATTATTTTCTTTTTATTTTAGATTTTTTATAAAATATTGTAATTTACTACATTATTTTATTAATTTAATCTAATTTCATTAATTTGAAAATTTTCTCATATTATTACATATTACAAAAACCTAAAATAATAAAAAGAATATAAATAAATTCAATATATCATAAATTAATATTAATAAAAAAATAATATATATTAATATTAAATTAACATAATATAATAAATTAAATTATTAATATTGAAATTTAAAATTTATAATTTAATAAATATTAAATCATTATATAAAGTTTAATATTGTGTTTATTTAGCTTTTATAATAATTAAATTATTTATGAATTTTAAAAAATAAAAAAAATACAATAATCAAAATTAATAAAAATAATTATTATTTATATTATATATCATATAAATTTTAAATAAAACAAAAATGTTTATTTTTTCAACTATTGTTATTAAATAAGAACATAAAATTATTTTCATATATATAAAAAAATTAAATATAAGATAAAAAAAAAAATATCATTAAACTTTTTAATTAATATTATCCAAATTTTATTTCAAATTAACTTAATTAGCTCCTTTCCAAATACTAAAAATCTAGCCTTCATGTAAGCTAACAAAAGTGGGTAATGCCTAAATTCCAAACTAGCTTGCAATATCTTTATTTTTTCCGTATTTACAGATAAGAACTTAACCTTTGGATATTCTTCACTATATTAAATAAATATAGGTTTAATAACTTTACAAGGTCCACACCAATCTGCATAAAAATCAATAACAACAGCTTATTATCCTTCAGTTTCTGAAATGAATTCCATAAAATCATTAATTTCTTTAACCTTTTTCATATCCAAATTTTATTATTATTATTATTATTACTATTATTAATTTTGCTATTAGTTTTAATCTTACTTAAATATTTAGTTAAGAGCATTAGCTATCTATTAAGCATTTTAATTATTAGGTATATTTTAATTAATATGTATATTTTAATTATTATTATCGTTTTTTGCTTAGCTTTAACTCTAGTCATTTTGTGGTGGGAAAATTTACTAAGAATTATGATTTCCTTCAAAAACTTAAGGAAAGACTTAAGTTTATCCACTTTAATTAATAATATTTTATTACATATTATCAATCATTGGCTTAAGCATTTAACCCATAGGAGTATTCAATATTTCCTCAGGTAATCCAATTATATATTCAGGAAGGCTTTTACCAGTTAAAAATTACAAACATTCATCACTAAAATTATTGCAATTATTTTTAAAAAGACAATATTTTTCGATAGTGAATCTTTCCGATATATCTCTCAAAAATTCTGTAAAAACTTCCTCAGGAATTTCTGTTTCGTCCATATCTATTTGGTTTACAGGAATTCCATATGGGGTTTGCTTTGGAAGGGAAGAGCATATTCCACCGCCGAAATAATATTCTTTTCCGTACACTACAACTCCTGTGTGCCATATGCCGTCAATTTGCTTTTATAGTAACATTGGGGAAAATACTTTAGCTAATCCACCGGATATGTCATATACTAAAAGTTATACTTTGTATTTTTGATCTGCCATATAGTTATTTTTGTGTTTTTTTGAAATAATTTTTTTTTTAAATAAATAATTTTTAATATCTAATTTTAAAAATAAATAAATAAGGAATTCCTAAAAGAAAAAATAAGATTCTATTCTTAATATAATATACATTTATTATTTTTTGAAAATTAGTAATTTATTTTATATAATATTTTTTTTTTGTGCACAATAGATTTTAAAAAAAATAGGTTCTAAATTCATAAAAATCTATAATTAAAAAAAGTTAAAAATAATAAAAAGTAATTTTAATTTTATTATAAAAATAATACTATGTAAAATAAACTATTTTTTCACAGTTTATTATTAAGAAATTAAAAGCAAATTAAAAATATATTTATATTAAATAATTATAAATATTTTGTTAAAAATAAAATATATAAATAAAAAGAATAACGTTAATATTATTAAAAATAATAATAAAATCATAGAAAAAAAAATGGGTACAACATTATCTCATAACATGATATTAGGTGATTAATTAGAGCAAACATCATTTAACATCCATAAGGAATGTTATTTCATAAAAAAAATAGAAAATAACCTATTTGGTGAATCTCAACTCCTTCAACAAAAAGAATCAGTTACAAATCCCTATTATATACTTCAATCACGTTTAATGTCAACAAAATCAGAATATGACTAATTTATAATTTATCCCTAAAAACAAAAACTAATAAAACACACGAATTTAGTTTAACTACTAAACATATATTAAATCCAATAAAGTGACTATTGTAACTAATATTTCAAAGTCTACATGTTATATGAATATTATGAAAAGACAATATAAGATCACTTAAACGAAAAAAAAAATTCAACTAAGAGCAAATAATAAACATGATAGATTAAATTTCATAAGCATTAAATTTTTTAAAATGTAATTAATAAACTCATGAATTTATTCAAGCCGATACTATCATTAGTATTCAAAATAAATAAAAATATATGCTTGCGGACTCGAAATTTTTAAATAAAGGGTAAAATGCATATACGAAATAAATTTTAGGAGAAAGCTAATATTGCTATTTATGTCCTGAGCTTTTTTGTTAGTTAAAACATAGATATAAAAAATAAAATAATATAAATGTGGATAAAAGTGATGTTTTTTCATTAGGGATAGTAGCTTTGTAAATGACAAATTTAATTGACATTAAATAAATTTACGATTTTGATTACTTTATTTTAAATAAATAATAAATTATAAAAACATTAGAAAATATTTAAAATAAATATTCAAATACTCTGGCCTTTATTATATCTAAAATGTTATATATGAACGAAAATGAGAGATTTTCTTCATAATAAATATAAAATTATATTCAAGAAATAAAAAACAATTCATAAGAAATTAATAATATAGAAAAATAGAGTTTCAATCCTTAAATAATACTATAAAATTATAAAGAAAATATAGATAATACGCCAACAAATAAAAAAAAATAACTTAAATTAAATCAACATCCCCTCCAGATAATAAACATAATTTTAATTCTATAAAATTAATAACCTTTAGCTCTTCTACAGATAAAAAATCTAATAGCTAAAATAATTCAACGAGTAATTTTTATAAAAACAAACATCCAAATAATAATGTATAAGAAAATATAAAAAAAAAAAAACTTATAACCTTAAAAAACTTATTCTTATTAAAAAAGTTGTCTAAATACTTCAAAAGAATAAAAATTTTATAATTAAAGATAGATGAATAATAAAAGAAATAACAAATATAACAAAAGAAATAATGACAATAGTAATAAAGATAATATAAACAATAACGATAGTAATAAATATAGTAATAATAATAGTAATAGTATAAACAATAGTTATATTAAAAATTAAAATAATAGTAATATTATAAGTAATATAAATGATAGTAATAAAAAAGTAAAAATAATAGTAATAATAATAGTATTATTATAAGTAATATAAATAATAATAATAATAATAATAATAATAATAATATTAATAATAATACTAATTTTAATATTAATGATATTATTGATAAAAATATATAAAAAAATGATATTATATATAATTCAAATTTTTCAAATGAAAATAAAAAAATTTAATAATAAATTTTTTCATAAAATGTACTTAAAGAAATAAAAATTAATTATCCTGTTATAGAAGAGAATTATAAAAAAAACATAGATGAATTATTTAAAAAATTAAAATATTAATAAAATAACAAATATTAATAATAGTAAAAATTAAATTAAAATTAAGAAAAATAAAAAAATAAAATTATTTAAAATAATGATCCTATAAAAAATAAATATTCTTATATATATAAACATAATAATGATCAAATTTTTAATACTCCAAATAATAATAGTTAAAATAATATAAAATAAAATAATATTAATATTTGTAATAATAATAATAATATTAATTAAATATTATCTAATAATGAAAAAGTTTTACTTAATGATTTTAATAAAAATATTAACTAAACAATATTAAATAATTATTAAAGTAATAGAAATGTTTCCTTAAATAATTATAATATATAAGAATAATAATTTTGTATTGCTCCTAGTCAAAGCAATTTAAAATTTAATATTGATAAAATTATCTAAGATCATTAGATCTAAAATGAATTAAGAAACGATAAACTTTTTACCCCTAAATAATTAAATAGGCATAATTACATTGATAATAATACGAATAATTTTATATTTAGATTATATGAATAATCTCCTGAGTTTTAAACTATAGACTATAAATTAAAATAATAAAATTCTTAATAAGAAATAAATGATATTTAAATTTAACAAACCCTATTATAACTTGAATAAAAAATAGAAAATTTTGATTAAAAAATGCATAAATTTTCTTAAGGAAAGCGTACTCCTATTAAAAATATTTTTTTTTAAAATAGATAAAAATAATATAACTAAGAATATGATAGTTCAAAAAAATTTAAAAGCTAAAGTTAAATGCGTTTATTATAATAATAATTAATAATTAAAAAATGAAAAAATAAAAAATTAAATATAAAATTTAAATTTATAATAATTTTACATTTATATTTCTAAAATAAACTAAAATTTATTTTACTTTATGTATATGTATATATATATTAATATTATTCTTTGTTAAATAAATATTTAAAAATAATATAAAAATTCAATTTTAATTATTTTATTTTTTTTATCTTTTACATCATTTGTCATTTACCTAACTTATTGTTATGAAATTGTATATACAATAATTATTAATATATATATTTTTACATTTAATGATTTTATAATTGATATTTTTTTAATAGCTTGCTAATTAAAAGAGTTTGTTTAAAATTAAGTATTTTTAAAATCTTTTTCTTGAGATTTTCTAATATTAATAAGTTAAAAAGCTTAAAAAATATATAAATAAATAAAATTTACATTATTTATTATTATTTCAATTCTTAAATACTATTTTACAAAAATTATATTTATTATTTTTATTATTCATTTTATTTTTTTCTATTATCAAGTTATTCTTATAATTTATGTATTTCATTCTAAGAAACACATAACTATAATTTATTCTACTAAATTTAAAACGACAAATGTTAATAATTAGCTTCACATTCTAAATTTTAATCTTTTTATTCGTAATATAGACTATTTTATGAAATTATATTATGCACATGATTAAGTTAACTTTATATTTAACTCTTTTTATATAAAAAGAAATATATAAATATATATTTATAATAAAAATTAAACTTATAATTTTTATGTGTGATTAATTAAAATTTTATTATCTGTAAATTTTTATTTATTTATTTGTTTAATTTTATTATTTTCATTTTTTAACTGTTAAATTTAATATTCATTTTCATTATTCACTTTCTTTAAATTATTATTAATATTTATCTATAAATATAATTCGTTTTCTAAATTTTATTAATATGATTTATCATTAAATTTTAATTTTAAATTATCTTATTAAAAAGTATAATGATCTGATTAAATGAATTAATGCTAACAAGTTTAACATTAAAACTCATTTTAATTTGAAAAAAAAAATTATTAAAATTATTCTAATTATTATTATTATTCTAATTATTAATTTTCTTATTATTATTTTTATTATTCTTATTATTCTTATTATTTTTATTATTCTTATTATTCTTATTAATCTTATTATTCTTATTATTCTTATTATTCTTATTATTCTTATTATTCTTATTATTATTATTCTATTATTATTATTATTATTATTATTATTATTATTATTATTTTATTTCTTCATAATCATCTTATTCTTCATTTATTTTATATAATTCATTCGCTTACTTTTTTTATTATATTATGATAATTTTTTTAATTTATTTTTTACATTATTTATTTATTAATATAATAATTAATTTTCTTATATTTTTATAATATTCTAATCTATATTTTTTTTAAAGTCTTTGTTTGTATATATTTTTTTAAGTTAAAATTATTTATATTATAAAATATAAACTTTTACTTTTTATTAATTCTTAAATTTTTATTTTAAATTAATTATTATTTTATTTTTATTAATCTAATTCAATTTTTAAGTTAAGTATTTGTTCTTCTTATTTTTTAAATTATAACATATTATTATATTCTAAAATGTTAAGCATTTTCATCTTTTTTAATCATTAAATTTTTTTATATATTTGTTTAAAATTTATTATTACAGTATTATTATCAGCTTATTAATCTTTCGGTGTCCCAACATTTTACATTTCAAGTTAATCAAATAGAAAGTTTTCGAATTTACTTTAAAGACTTTTAAGCATTTAACTTTACATTTTTACGTTTAATTATTTTGTTCAAAAGAATTACTAAATTAAATATTTATAATACTATCATTTAAATTTTAAACATCGATTTATAATTAATTTTCATAATTTTATTTATTTCCTTATAAATTTTACATTTCTATTTTTTTATAAATATTTATTGTTTATAAAAATATAGTTTTTAACTAAATTTTATACTAAAATTAATAACTAATATATTAATAATTAACTTCAAAATATATTATTAAATTTTTAACAATTAAATTAATTTTTGTTTTTTAATATGTTATATTAAATAAATGATATTTAATATAAAATAATAAATTAATAATTATTTATTTTAGATTATTAAATAATGATTTTAAAAGTATAAAAAAAATTATGAACTTAATTTATATTAATCTGTATATAATTGATTTTAAAAATTTATTCATTATTTTGAATTAAAATAAATTAAAAACACTATAAATAAAACAAAAAAATCATATATTTTAATTATTACCCTCATTATCTATCTAAAAGCTTTTTTAAATAATATATTTATTTTATGAATTAGTCATTAATACCTACTATATCCCATAATCATATTCATAATTATATATTTACTATTCCTAAAAATACTTAATTAAAATAACCAAAAAACACTCTATCCTACAAAGCAAAAATAAAATAAAAGATTAAGAGATTATTCCCAATAATAATGTAAATACCCTATATTTCAATTCAAAAATATATCACTTAAAACTATAAACGGATACGTCCCCACACTTGCCCTCAATATATTTTTAAATATACTACTCATTTTTAATACTAATAATCTCTGTTTATATATGAATTTCAAGATCAGGAAAGTCTATATTTAAAAATTACATGCACAGACAAGATAGATTCTCCCCTAAAATTTCGCAAAAATTCATTATATAATTTTTTATAAATACTTATATAGATTTTCATTTAACAAAATAACGGAAGTTCCACTATCTATTAAAAGCTCTTTTACAGCTAACTCATTTTTTTTTTTTCCATCTAAATAAAAGCCTAAAAAATTAGACCTATCTTATCTAATTTCATAAAAAGTAAATAAGTAAAATTTTAAAAATTTCAGAAGACAAATTCGATCTAAATCTTTATCCACATAAGCAAACAATAATTTTTTTTTTTATAGAATTTTCTTGAAAAATATCCTATCCTAAACTATAAATCCATAATATTAACCTTTTGCATATTAGATTTTTTTTATTTACTTCTGTCATATTTTGCAGTTTTGTTATTTTATAATTAAAATAAATCGCATTATGACATAAAGGAAATTTTTATATGCAATCTTTTGTTAGAACCCATAAATGGGTACTTCAGGTATCAAATAATATTTTGGCTTATTCTCTATTATCATTAAAATATTATTTATTCATATTATTTTTACTAATTTCTCTGATTTTTTTTATTAAAACTTAATAAAAAAAAAATTAAGACATTTTTATATTAATTAATTTTTTTAAAAAAATTAAAGAAAATACAAAAAATTAATATTAACCAGTAATATAGATAACTGAATTACCGAATATCTTAAATGCTTTCTAATTGCTATTATTTTGATTCAAATAAAGTGGAATATAAAAAAAGTATTACATATTTATTAATTAATTTTTTATATCAAATTTATTTTCTATTTATAATTTTTATTAAATAAATTAATTTAATATTAATATTTTAATATATTAGATAATATAATATGATTTAAATAATAGTGATTATTTTATATAATTAAAAGAAATATATAAATTTTATTTTTTATTAATAAATAACTTAAAAAATAATTTGTTTTATTAAATATAAATTGAATTAGATATTATTCAATATTTATAAAATAAATTTATATACAAATTAGCAAAAAAAATATTAAAATATATATATATATAAATCAGCTTTATTTATAATAAAAACTAAAAAATATTTTTTTTTTAAATAAAACATGAATAAAATAAATATAAAATTCCATTAAAAAAAATAATCATTTTTTAAAATTAGGAACAACAGGTTCTTCATAGATACCACAAACACCTGGCTATCCACTTTATTTAGTTCTAGCAATTCTAATATATCCGTCTTCTCCCCAACTGCTTCCCCAAGAG